GGTGTTGAGAAAATCATGTTAAAACCCAGAAACTGCATCCTTTGGGGAAACATCTGTTGTGTGTATGCTGCTGAAAAATCACCCGGCTCCCTCCCAGTGCCCTGCTCTTCCTCCTCCTCCTCTTCTTCCTTCCCTGCCGTGCTCTCTTCCCGGTCTCCGTGCGGATGCATCCCTCCATGCCTGTCGGGAGCAGTGCTGGGTGTCCCGAGGCCCTATAAAAGGAGACATTGTGTGTGTGGGAGCGTGGGAGGAGGCTCAGCACTGCAGCTCTGCCCTGGCCAAAAGCGATCTGCTGGGCTGTGGGACCGATGGTGGGGACCCCCAGAGCCCAGCTGGGCTGCACCCCCCAAAAAGCAAACCCCAAAAGGTGGTGAGAGGGGTTTTCCAAGGAAACTGTGCTCCCTTTGGGTGGTTGATGCAGCAGGGAGGCTGCCCCGATGCTTGTGTGTCTGAGGTCTTGCTGTTCTAGATGGGGGACTCTCATGGGTGTCCCTTTCCAGTGCCACGGCTCTCAAATATTTGGGGGTTCCCCCTCTAGCCCCAGGCAGCACTTTCTGCTCAGCACAGTGTGGGGTTGCTGGTGCCTCTGGGCAGCTGGTGTGGGTAAATCATTAGCCAGGTTTTTCCTGGGAAGCAGCCTGGTCTCTGCAGGGCAAACTCAAGCTGCCTTTTGTTCCTGGCTCTGTGCACCCCATCCCGAATTTGAGGTCTCCAAAAATCCCTGGTTCACGCACCCCAGTCCCCTGGGTCTGCATCTCCCAGCTCTGAGGGTTGGCTCCATGCACCCTGTTCTCCCAGCCCTGTGCACCCCCACATTCCATACGTCTGTGTACCCCAATCCTCTGCACTGGTGTGTCCTGGACCCCCAACTCTGTGTATCCCAACATTCCCATCTTCCTGTGCTCTGGTCTCCTGGCTCCATGCACCCCTGTGCCCTGGGTTATGTGTACCCCAGTTCCATGCACCCCAATGCCCAGGCCATGTGTATCCCAATCCCCTGGCTCTATAAGCTCTGCTTCCCCAACTCTGTGCACCCCAATACCCAGGCCCAGCATGTACCCCAGTCCCTTGGCTGAATGCACCCCAATACCCTGTCTCAGCGTACCTCAAATCACCTGGCTCAGTATACCCCAACCCTTCCAGCTCTGCACCCCAATCCCCCAGCACCAGACACCCCAGTGCCCTGGCTGAACATATCCCAACCCTCCCGGCTCTGTGCATTCCAGTTCCTCAGCCCTGTGCACCCCAATCCCCCTGGCTTGCTGCCCCCAACCCTCCCATTTTAGTGCACCCCAATCCCCCAGCGTCAAACACCCTAATCCATAATCTCTGGCCCTGTGCACCCCATTCCTCTAGTCTGGTGTTCCCCAACTCTCCCAGCTCCGTGCACCCCAATCCCTCTGGTTCAGTGCTCCCCAAACCCCCATGCCTGCGCACCCCAATCCTGCAGCCCCGTGCATCCCAATCCCCTGGCTGAACGCACCCCGCTCTCTCGGCCCTGTGCACCCCAATCCCCCAGCTCCAGGTTCCCCAGTCCCCCAGCCCCGTCTCGCCAACCCCCAGCTCCTCAATCCTCCCAGCTCCAGGCTCCTCAATCGCTGCCAGCTCCCCATCCCCCAGCCCCGCTCTCCCCGATCCCAGTCCCCTCCCCAATCCCTCAATTCCAGCTCTCCAGTTCTGTGCACCCCATTCCTCCACTCCGCCTCCCGGACCCTCATTCCAGCTTTCCCCAATCCCCAGCCCCGCTCTCCGATCCCTCAGCGCCCCAGGCTCCCCAGTTCCCCCAGTTCTGTCCCCCAAACCCCCAGCCCCGCTCCCCGATCCCTCAGCCCAGGCCCCTCTCCCCAGCCCCGCTCCGGATCCCTCAGTTCCAGGCTTCCCGAACCCCGAGCCCGCCCTCCCGGATTCCTCAGTCCAGCTCCCCATCCCCCACCCCGCTCTCCCGATCCCTCAGCCCAGCTCCCCATTCAGCCCCGCCTCTCCCCCGTGTACCGCTCCACAGCTCCTCCCGCGCCGTTCCCGCAGGAAGCGCCGCAGCCAATCGGCCGGGCCGCCGCCCGGACCCCGCGCTGCCGCGCGCTGCCCGTAAGTGCGGGGGAGGGGCCCGCCCGCTCGGGGGCGGCGCTGGACCGCACGGGGCCGGGCTCGGGGTGCGGGGTCGCCGAGCGGCGGCAGCCCGCGGAGAGCCCGCCGCCGCCCCGCTGCCCCTGCGCGCCGGGCGCGGACCCGGCGGTTTTCCGGAGGCGAATGAATGGGCTCCCCCCGAGCCGAGCCCCGCCGGGGACACGGCCACCCGGGCTGGGGGGTCGGGAGCCCCGGCGATGTTGGGGGGTCTGGTCCCCTTGTCTCGTGCGGGCAGTCCCGGGGGGCAGCGGTGGCCCTCGTCGCTTCCCATGGCGGGTATGGATTCAGGGAAGGCGGCATCCCGGCATGCTTAGAAATCCGATTTAAACCGCCCTATTTTGTGTATTGGGCTGAACACACCCCACGCGTGGGACAAAATCCCGAGGGGAAGCGGTTGTTCCCCTTTTCCCTGGGCTGAGACAAGAGATACCCCCCTCCTTCCTGTCACCAAGTATCACCCCGAATTTATATTCTTTCCTCCTGCCAAATATCACCCCAAGTCCTTGTCCCTTCCTCCTGCCAAGTATTGTATCCCAAATCCTTGTCCCTTCCTGCCACCAAGTATCACCCTGAATCCTCTTCCCTTCCTCCTGCCAAGTATTGCACCCCAAATCCTTGTCCCTTCCTCCTGCCAAGTATTGCACCCCAAATCCTTGTCCCTTCCTCCCACCAAGTATTGCATCCCAAATCCTCATCCCTTCTTCCTGCCAAGTATCCTTGTCACTTCCAGGCACCAAGTATCACCCCGAATCCTTATTCCATCCTCCCACCAAGTATCACCCCGAATCCTTTTTCCATCCTCCCACCAAGTATCACCCCAAATCCTCATCCCTTCTTACCACCAAGTGTCACCCTGAACCCTCATCCCTTTTTCCTGCCAAGTATTGCACCCCAAATCCTCATCCCTCCCTAACTCCAAACATCATACCCTGAATCTGCACCTGGAATTCGAGGGTTGCACCCCATCCTTCCACCCCCGCTTTGCCATGTCCCCCATCCCTGCAGAGTCCTGAGTGAGGAGCTGCTGCTCTGCACCCAGAAATTGAGCAGCAATTAAAAATAGTCTAGAGCAGAGCTGGGCTCCTGGCTGGCACAGACCCCAGGCACGAGAGGAGCAGAGTGAGGGGCTCAGCCCAGGCACCCCCAAAAGTTGGGATTGAGCTGCACTGGGAGGTGAGGACATATCCCTGGATCTGTAGATGTTTTCTTCTCACCTCAGCTGATAATGTGGGTATTATAAAAAAGCTCTGTGATAGTAAATAAAAAATAGGGAAGGGATGAGGTATGATTCCTGGGGGGATTTAGTTATTCCTTGGGTTTCTGGAGGATCCAGCCATCCTGGCTTGCCTTCACAAGGGCATTCCTCTTCCAAGGAATGTGTTTGTGGAGTTCCTTACATCCCAATTTATGAGAGAAACTCAGGTCTGGGACAGAGCCCATTCTTTGTCCCGGGATGACACCACAGGAATGGGGAAACTGAGTCATGGAAAGGAAGGACTCCCAGCTGCAGAAGGAGGACTGGGGACATGGGTGTCCCCTTCCCGTGACACCTCTGAGAGGGTCTGGCAGGACTTGTAGGTCACGAAACCCGTAAAATATAATTTATTTTAGCATCCCCAGGAAAAGGGAAGAACTCCAAGGGAGATGAGTCATGGTTTCCCTCGTCTGGGCAGCTGAGTGATGCCCCATCACCCTCTCCTGCCACAGCTCCCTCCCTTCCCGGCTGCCTGGCATTGAGCACAAGGCTGGCTCTGGGCTTGTGCACTTGGGAAAAGGCAAGAGTCAGGTTTAAGAAAAAAGCTGGATAATTTGTTTTCTCCAAAGAGCCTCGTGCGTGGGACGGAAGGAGAGGGGATTTTGCCCCTCAGAGATCTTGGGGCAAAACTGTACCTCAGCTACCCCCTGTTCCCTGTGCCTCAGTTTTTCCCCATGCCTCAGTTTCTCCCGTGGGAGCTGAGCTGACCAAAGCTTCGGGGCTGCCTTTCCCTGATTGAGAGGAGTTTAAGGAACAAGGTGCCAATGGCCCACGTTGTTCCCACTGCCCCCAGGCAACTGGTGCCACGACACTGATTTATTTCAAACTTGGCTGTGTCGGTGCTAAAGGCTCCGGGCGGAGCAGGGGAGCTCTGGGATGTGCTGGGACAGGGACGGGACACGGCAGCAGCGCTGCTGGCTGCGATATCTGGGGCTCATTTCTGCTGTGAGGGAGGAACGCGGGTCACGAGCTCTTGGCAGGGCGGGAGGGATGCTCGGGAATCCGGCCAGAGCAGCCAGCGGTGCCGGGCAGCTTGCCCTCACCTCTCCCCACATCCAGCTCTGAGACGCTCTGGCTCTATTCCCCACTTTTCGGGACAACCTCATGCCGGAGATTTTTCTGCTTTGAACAGGGATGAACCTCCCAGCCCTCCAGCTGCTGGCGGAGCCAGGAATCTGCAAACCTCTCCCGTTTAGCTTCTTCTGTTTAGTTTTTAGCAATTTTGGACACTGGGAGCAGCGAGTTGCCTCCTCTTGGAGGACAGGGATGTAACAGCCCAATGCTGCTGCAGGGAAAAGCTGGGAAAGAGAGAAACAAAGGGGAGGAGAAGCGGGGAGGAAGGGAAGAGGCTCACGTGGCTTCCCCAGGGCACCGGCCAACGCCTCCAGCACAAGAGCTGCCTCCGGCTCCATCGGCTCCCCGATGCTGGGGATGCAGCAATCCCTTGGCTGGTGCCAGGCTGGAGGTGAACCCCCTCCCAGGTTTTGTGACGGGGTGGGTGCTCTGTGGGGATGGCTGGTGTGGGATCCCCGGCCTGATGCCGGTCTCCTCCCTTCTCTTGCTCTTTGTCCCTGGTTCCCAGCACCATCTCAGTGTTTCCTTCTGTTTTTCTTCAGCTCAGAGCTCTTGTTCCAGGAGAGAAGGCTCCCTGTGAGGACTCCTGGGGCCGGGCTTGCTCCTGCTTTCTTATCCAGACTTTGCTTCTGCCAAGGATGTTCTTCCTGCTGCTTGTCCTGGGAGTGCTGGCAGGTGAGTAGGGCTGAGGGGGGGTCAGCGTGTCACCACCCCAAAGGACGTGTCCTGAGTGCCATGTTTATCCCAACAAAGCTGCCTTTGCCCTGTGGTTCTTGGTGGCAGCTCCCTCAAGGCGTTTTTCCTGTTTTGTGGTCCTCTGGCTGCCCACCCTGGTCATGGCTTGTGGTGGCACTTCATAGCAGGGCACACCTCCTTCCACATACTACAGCTGAATGGCAAAGCCAGGGGGAGGAATAAATCCTGAAGGTTTTTACTTACCTGGGAGAGATGTCGGGACTGAATCCTTTTGGATTCCACAGCCAGCAGCGATTCTGGCCAGGGTGGTTCCTAAAACCCCCTGGCATTTATTATTAGCTGTAGGGAGACGTGACACTCTGGAGTCTCCCTGGAGCCAGGCAGGCTGCCCAGTGCTCTTGTCCTGCCTGTCTGTCCATCTGCAGCCCCTGGCAGGGCTCCTCCTGCCTGGCTCCTTCCTGCAGCTCCTCCTCCTTCCCCACAGCTCCTCATCCTCCCCATGCAGTCTCTTGCCTCAAATTTAATGTCTCATTGCTGCCCTCGTCCCATGGGAGGTATCTGTGGGAAGGGCTTTGCTGTGTTCTGCAGCGGTGCTGAGCTTGAAATATAAAGTAAATCCATGGTCTGAGGTGAGATTTCCCCCCTTTTCCTCCCCGTTTTGGGATTGGGGTCTGCTTTGGGGGACATTGGTGCCAACAGGCACCCCAGGACCACCTGCAGGTCCAGCAGCCCTGGCACAGCTGGTATTGCTCTGTGGTAGGGTTGGCACTGTGCCGTGGGACTGGGACATGGCTGGCATCATGCTGGAGCACTGGGATGAGGTTGGCACCGTGCCATGGCACACCGGTTGGCATCGTGCTGGAGCACTGGTGCCATCTAGTGCCTGCCAGCCTGGCTAGAGCTGGCTCATCCTGGGGACACGGGACTGACTGTGTCCCCACTGCTGTCACCCTCTGACCTCCCCTCCCCATGGGGACAATCCAGGCTATGTGTCCTGAGGGGTGCAAGTTTGGGTGCCCGTGGCTGTGTCTGGCATCTGAAGGCACTGGTGCCCCTGGTGTGGTGCTGGATGTGGGGCTGTCTCCCTCCTGGCAGGGTGGGCTTGGCTGGCAACAGTCCTGAGATGCCACCTGCCCACAGGTCCCTCCCATGGGCACCCCTCCATTTGCTTAGATGTTACCCAGGTGGAAGCTTAAGGAGGTGCTTCTGCAGGTCCCACCACCCCGTGCTCTTGCCCTTGTCACCCTCCTGTAGGTGCCATGGAGATCCAGGTCCCGGATGAGCCCGTGGTGGCTCTTTTTGGCCAGGACGCCACCCTGCGCTGCTCCTTCTCCCCCGAGGCCAACTTCAGCCTGGACGACCTGAGCCTCATCTGGCAGCTGACGGACACCAAGCGCTTGGTCCACAGGTTCTCCGGTGGCCGGGACCAGCTGGAAGACCAGGGCAGGGTCTACACCAACCGTACGTCCCTCTTCTATGACCAGCTGCCCCAGGGCAACGTGTCCCTGCTGCTGCGGCGCGTGGAGATCGCGGACGAGGGCAGCTTCACCTGCTTCGTGCGCGTCCGCGACTACAACAGCGCCGCGGTGACGCTGCAGGTGGCAGGTGAGGCAGGGGGAGCTGGGCTGTCCCCGTGTGTTGTGTCTCCCCAGCGGGAAGGGGTCTCCATCATGCTTTGTGGAGCCCCTCTCTCCACCCTTGCTGTGGTTTCCCCATGAATTCAGGTCTCTGTTAGAGACCAACCAGCTGCACCTCCCCAAAATGTTGCTGTGCGGGTTACAGTCCCTTCCCTGCCGTCATGGAGAAGCTGCCAGTTAAGAGAACACTTGGAAGCACGGCCATAAATGATCCAAAGTTGGGGAGCCGTCAGCTGATTGGTCTTATCAGCTGGAAGAATCTGTCCTGGGGCTTGCCCAACCTCACTGAGTTGCTCCCGATCCTGATCCTTTGTTGTCTCCATCACATCATGCTGGTTGTCCTTTCCCTTGCAGCTCCCTACTCCAAGCCCAGTGTGCACCTGGAGCCCAGCAAGGACTTGAAGCCAGGTGACCTGGCCGTCGTGACGTGCCACGCTTCCCGCGGCTACCCCGAGGCCAGCGTGCTCTGGCAGGACAGCCGGGGCAGCAACATCACGGAGAACATCACCACGTCCCAGGTGGCCAACGAGGAAGGTCTCTTTGATGTGCACAGCGTCCTCCAGGTGCTGGTGGAGCCCAGCATCACCTACTCCTGCCTGGTGCAGAACCTGGTGCTGCAGCAGCATGGCCACGCGTCCGTCACCATCACGGGTGGGTGAGCCACCAAATCTGGGGGAAAGGATGGGCTGGGCTCTGTCTGCAGAAGGTGACCGTGGTGGCACTGGGATCTGGGATCCCTACTGTGGCCCAAAGCCACCCTGGGTGTTGCTACACTATGTCCCTGCTCTACCAACCTCCCCCATGGACCTACAAGGGTGACTCGAGGCTGTACTCTCTCCCCTGTCACCCCACACCAGCATCCCAGTAAGAACCAGTGTCCTTAGTTCTTAGTCTCCAGCTTTGCTCCTTGCCCTGTGCCAATCCATCAGCAGGTGTCTTCTCCTTAGCCTGTTGCCATGGGATGCTCTAAATTTGAGGATCTCCATCCCAGCTGTACCAATCCTACTTCAGGAATACAGGCTGGAGGAATCCATCAAGCACGTTCAGCATCAGAGTAAAGCTCAGGCTTTACTCTGAGCTCTGCTTGCTGCCCTCCCAAAGCTCCTTATAACCTCTTGCCCTCCCCAATAACATTAATTAGTGTTTAATTACTCTTGGTATGGCATTTGCTGGTTAGGAAGGTGGATCCTTGATGGAGCATAAACTTTCTAGCTGGATGCACCAAACTCTTGCAGGAAAACCTGCATGGATGCTGCTGGTTGGGGACAGGTTGGCTTTTGGATGGGCTCCTGAGCATGCAAAGAAAAGGTCAACCTTGGGGTGACATCTGTGAAGGGGCAGGGCTTGGGGCAAGACTGTATTTGGAAAAGGAGCAGTAATATGGGGAAAAATTGGATTTCCAGCACTCCAGGAGATATCCCCTGAGCCCTGGTGGTCCCTGCCATGTTGTTCCAGTTCCTGAAGGAACCTCCAAAAATATGGAGAGGGACTTTGGACAAGGGCCAGGAGTGACAGGACAAGGGACAATGTATTGAGATTGCCAGAGGGCAGGGTTAGATGGGATATTGGGAAGGAATTCTTCCCTGTGAGGGTGGTGAGGCCCTGGCACAGGTTGGCCAGAGAAGCTGTGGCTGGCTCATCCCTGGAAGTGTCCAAGGCCAGGTTGGATGGGGCTTGGAGCAACCTGGGATAGTGGAAGGTGTCCATGCCCGTGGCAAGGGGTGGAATGAGGTGAGCTTTAATGTCCCTTCCAACCCAGGCCACTCTCTGATTCTAGACCCTGGGGAAGGTATTCCCATCCTTTGTGCCCCCCTGGCATGAGATGACAGGGGAAAGGGAGCAGGTGCAGGATCATCTGATGCTTCTCCTGAGCTTCTTAGCAAGGGAAGGGTCAGCCTGCAGTCGAATTTATGAGTGGAATTATATAAAGATTTAATGAAGTATTTTAGGGAGTGACTCAACCTGCTGCTTCCCTGCCGGATCCAGGCCTGCAGGGGGAGGCCATAGTTCTGTGCACCGATGGTTTGCCTTCCAAAGCCACCCTTGTGCCACCAACTCCCTCCACGGGGACGTGTCCCCGGCACCGCGGGGCCCTGGTGTGGGGCACACCTTCCCTGGTTGGGCAGTGGTGCTCACCCAGGTGTTGTGTGTCCCCTCCCCTGCAAGGCCAGCACCTCGCCTTCCCCGCCGCCGCGCTCTGGGTCACGGTGGGACTCGCCATCTGTGTCCTGGGGCTGCTCGTCGTCCTGGCCTACGTGTGCCACAAGAAAATCCGGGAGAGCTGCGAGGAAGAGGAGGAAAACGCAGGTACTGGGGCAGCTCCTTCCCCCAGAAAGGGGGAATGGTTTGCTGAGGGCGATGGAATGGGGGGAGCTGGGACAAGTGTTGACCAGCACAGGTTTGCCTTGGTGGTGGTGGCTTTTAAGGGATGAAGGGATGCTGGAGGTGGTGGCACTGGCAGATCTGGGCCACAGAGCCCGTGCTGGCTGCAGACAGCTCTTTCAAACATACACCTGGTTTTCCTCCCACCCAGCCTGTCTCCCCCTTTTCCTGCTCTGAGCATCCTCTATGTGTCTGATACCCACAGCCAGGAGCATCTCCTCCAGGGAGGTGCCTCTAGCACTTAGCACCGTAGAAATAGCATAAGAGAGATGCTCTGTGCTCTTGTTTCCTGCATCCTCCTCCTGTTTGGGTTGGTTTTTTTATTTATGGAGACGTGTTTGCACAAAAAGGGGGGGGTTGTTGCTTTAAAAAGCTGCTGTGCTCCAAAAATGGCCGAGGAAGCAGCTTTGCTGGCGTTCCCGGTTGTTTTCTCTCGCTGCCTCCCAAGGCATTCGCTTTGCCAAAGCCTTTCCCTGCCGACATCGCTCTGCGGGGCCGGGACCCGCAGCCTCCCTCCCCGGGGGCTCCTGCTTCACTCCTCTCCCTGCCAGGAAGGACCTTGGAAGCAATGCCACCGTGATCCCTGGCTGTCCGTGTCCCCAGCAGTGGGGACAGAGGGTTTTTTTTCTCTGGGAAAACATCTGCAGAAGTTATAGATGTTTTTTATATATATATATGTAGTATTTTCTCCTCAGCCAGGGGATTTTCAGGGCTGTGACGCTCAGCCGTGGCCTGGGGCCAGCTGACCTCAGTCCTTTAGCATCAAGACACAGCTCCCACCCCGTGATGTTTTCCACTGATGGCTGCACACCCACCCTCAGGAATAACCTTTTGCCGTGGCTCTTGCTCAGCCAGAAGCCAGGCAGGGACCCTTCCTGCCTCCTGTGGCTGCCAGGCTTGTGGGAACAGTGATTTTTGCTGGGCTTTCCTGCCGGGAACGGCAGCGTGGCAGGACTTGCCCGTGGGGTGTAAAAGCTCCCGGGCTCCAAGGGTGGCAGCCTGGTGGGTGCTGTAGGAGGGGGATGCTCATCCCTCGGTGGTGGGGTATCCTGGAGGTGCCAGGGGATCCGTGGTGTCCCACTAAGCCCCCCGCCGAGCGTTGCTCCAGATGGCAGCCGTGCTATAAATAGGGATGCGATGGCTGCGCTGCGTCTCCTGGAGCTGTGCCTTTTCCTGCTTCGCTTGTAGGGAATGTGCCACGCTGGCACAGCGTGTGCTGGGGGAATACCCCCATGGGGTGCTGGTGCAGGTGAGTGCCAGTCACCTCCCTGAGCACCCCCAGCAGCACCTGATCCCGAGCAAACCCCGGGATACGCGGTGATTGCGGGTTGCTCTGAGCAGCCGGTGATCCAAGGGGCATCCCCAAAATCCAGGGAGGTGGGGTTCAGGGTGGGCACTGGCACGTTTCCCACACTCTGTCTTGCTCTTTTGCAGGGACGGAGGAGCAGGATGAGGAGGGGGAAGAACCCAAGACAGGTGGGTGCATGGTCCTGTATAATAAACCTGAGGGTTTGTTATATAGGGAGTGCATTTTACTGCCCCTCCATCGGTGCTCAGCCCCCCATGCTCCCCCTTTCTCCAGCACATCCCTCACCTGGCAGCTCCCTGATAAGCCAGTCTATCCCATGATAAAAAAGGCATCAAACAGTTTAATTATATGCCCAGTGATTGCCTTTATCTGCTGGCACAGGAGCAACCCCGCTTGGGATACTGTCTCTTCTGCTGGGGAGATTTAGGGACCAGGGGTTGGTTTGTGATGGAAATTGGTGTAATTACTGGAGTGGGTTCCCTAAAGTGGGGTTTTTACTTATTTCCTCTGGGGAGGTGTTTCCTTGCAGGGGGGAAGGACTGACCCACGTGCTGTTTTGCTTTTCACAGCTCTGCAGCTACTGAAAAGCGCGGAGAGCAAAGAGGGTGAGTGAATTTGGCAGGACTATGAGCTGGCCCCTGGTGAAGGTTTCACCCTAAGCATCATCCTCAGGTGATGCTCAGGTCTATGTGGAAAGCATCTATTGGATTTTGGTTTTTTTTTTCCTCTGTATTTTCAATTTTCATCTTTTTCCACCCCAGTTCTCAATCAGATTTTCCCAGATCAGTGATTTCCCAGCACCCATTCCCACCCCAGGTTGGCCTGTGCTTGCTCTGGGTGCTGCTCATGTCTCCCAGCAGCGATGGAGTGAGGCAGCCAGTGGCTTCCACAGGGTGTTTTTTCTCTTACCCTTCCTTTTTTTGGGCACCTTGGGATCAGGAAAACCCACCTGCCACCAGCTCTGGACACTGTGAGGAATTTGGGGGTTTTTTGAGTGTTGCCGTTGGTTTTGCTGAGAGAAGAGGAATTGCTGGGATTGGTCCTGCCCTTGCAGAGAGCTCCATCCCTCCCCATGCAGAATTCCCCAGCAGCAGACTGGTGCTGAATTTCAGGTGGAAATCCATGGAAATTGGTGTCTCAGCTCCCATTTCTGCCTTTCCCTATCTTCTCCCAACCTCCTGGCTCGGTGCTGCCAGCAGCCCATCACCCCTCCCAGCCCAGTGCTGGGCTCCAGCACTCTCTGTGCCTGGTCAGTCCTGCTCCTCCCCGACTCATTCCCATCCCCAGATCTCAATCTTTTAATTTATTTCCTTTCTTATTAAATCAGAGGCTTGGCCTCTGCTGCTGGTGAATCACTGCTAATTTAACCCTTCCTTCCTCTTTCATTCATCTGTGCTCTGCTTCCTGGCCCCTTGGCTTTTCATTCCCAGTGCATCCTGTTTGCTTAACCCCATGTACCAGACATCTCCCACTGGCTCCTCGACCACTTTTGCAGCAGAAACGAAGCTTGGATAATAACACCTCCCAAGATTTGCTGGCTGCAGGGGCATTTCTAGCCAGGAGGATGAATGAAGGGATAAAAACACACCTAAATGTGCCTGGTAGTATTTGCCTGAGGCTGACATCACCCTTGGGTGTGGGGATCCCAGTTTTCCTGGGTGAGGAGAGCCCAGAGCTGCTGCAACCAAGTGAACTTATTAAGTTAGACCTGTGAGTTATTCTTTTTTAATATGTTTGTCAGTTATTTATTTAGTCTTTTTTTTTTCTTCCCAGATAACGAGCAAGAAATTGATTGACAGGGCAGTGCCCTGTGCCCTAGACCAGCTGAGATGTCCCCAGTGGGGACGAGGTCCGGGTCCCCTGGGAGGACACGGATCTGCTGCCACCCCTCATCCCGGGTCCCCTCACCTTCCTCCCTCCCTGGCCATGTCTTTGGGGTGCCCTGGGGCTGCAAAGAGGCTGCATCTCCTCATCCCTGGCAAGCTCTGAAGGCTGGTGTGTCCCTCCCAGGGATGGTGTGTGTGGGATGGAGGATCTTCCCTGTCCATCCCCACGTGGGGCTGAGAACAACCGGCGTCACCCCTTCCCCCAGGCACCCCCTGAGCCTTCTCCATCGGGGCCACAGCTGAGCCAGCCACCTTCCAGGTGCCTTCCAGGGCACATTTAACTGCCCTTCCCAAGCCCAGAGGCCTTGAGAGCGGTGATGGGCTCAGCAAGGTCCCTGGGAATGACTGCTGGAGCCCTGGAGGCTCCGGGAAGATGGGTGGGACCCAGGGGTCCCCAGGCACGGTGCTCTTGGCCCCCCTGGAGCCACCACTCCAGGGGTGTGTGTGGATAATTATTTTTTCACTTTGCAACACTGTGGTTCCCACTGGACTTATATTTTTGCCTTAAATGCAAAATCCCATTGGGGTGGTTATCTCCTGCCTAGGACTTGGGTTTTTTGGGGAAGGGCAGGCCTTGGGGGGCACCTGCTGGCCAGGTGAGGCCCTGCTGTCCTCCCTGTGGTGACAGAGCTGATGCTTTGGGGGCTGAAGCACTGGTTGGGCCAAACCTGGCCAGTGTGTGGGGTTGAGCACCCGTTTTTCCCATGAGATCATGGGGTTTTGCCCTCGTGCATGTCCTGGGGGTCCTCCTGTTGCTGCTGGGGGCGTGGGGGCACCCAAACTGCCGGGGTGAACGAGGTGGCGCGTCCCTGGTCCTGCTCCAGGGGTGGAGAAGTCCCCGATGGCTCTTCTGCTGGTTTTAGTCATTATTTAAAGTCCAGAATCTGAAGGGATTATTGTGCCTTGACAAATAAATTTGGGGTTGTTTTGGCCAATGCTTTCCGGGCTCACTGTGGTCTCTGGGATGCAGCTTTGGACATAAATAGTCTGAAGATTGGAATTCCCAGAGCAAAACCTTCATGTTCCCCTTTTAACCCCACCTGAGCTGCCCTCATCCATCCCCCAGCACGGGGAGCAAACGGCCAATGCCTGCCCTCATCCCTCTGCTTTATTCTCATCCCTCAAGCAGTGGAATAAAGAGGAAAATCCCAAAGGGATGCTGTCATCTGTCCGAGATGGCTCCAGAATTCAGGCTGGTTAATCCCAGTGCTGGGATGCAAGAGGGTTCTTGCAGGGCCTGGTGAGGAAGGGACCTCCCTAAATCACCTGTGAGGGACTATTTTTAGTTGTCCTTCCCTATCATGAAGCCAAGCTCTGCATTCCAATAGGAAAATATTCCTAAAGGCGAGACAAGGGAACGTGTGCTGATCTCAGCCTCTGATTAGGGAGAGGATGGATGGTGATTTCATTGAGGGGTTTGATCTACGGCCTGAATTAAGTGCCAGCACAAGTTTTAACGAGGAGCCAGGAGGTGCCATTAATATTATTTAGTGCCCAGCACTGGGCTGGGGGAATGAAGCCATTAACCATCCCTTGGGTAACTCGTCCTTGGCGGGCAGTGGGATGAGTTGTCCCCACATCTAGGACATCGTTGAAGGTCCTGAGATGGTGCCACAGCATCCCTGGGGATGTCTGCTCCGGCTGGGAGCTTCCTGGGGCTTTTATTTGGGCAGATTTGAGGGGGTTTTTTTTGCAAAATGCAGCCTGGGCTATGCAGGGAAAGGAGCTCTTGAGGCTGGTGAGGGAGAAAATCATAATTAGCTGTGGAAGCCCAGGGAAAACATTCCTTAGGTGGCTCCAGGGTGATGAGCCCTTCTGAAGTGTGAGCTGCTGTTCCTGGGAGGATGTGCTGTGCTTTGGCCTGGGATAAAGCACTCCAGGAGGAGCTCAGTTGTCCCTCTTGTCCCCAGGTGCCATCCTGCTTTTGGGGCTGTCCAGGTGATGGATTTTTTGGGGGAGGAAACCATTCATCCTCTTCTTAATCCTATGTGATGAGGCCCAGGCAGGGATGAGGCTGGACGGCCGTGGGTTTTTTTCCATTCCTGAAAGCCCCCAGATCCTTCTCCACCTGCTCCTGGCTAATGGTGAACCTGGCAGCTGGGAAGGTGGGATTTAAGGGATGCAGCATGTGAAGGACCTGGCAGTGAGAGCTGACAGCTCACTCGTGTTTGCTTCATCCCTCCCGGGAGCCGGCGAGGCTGTGAGTGCATCCAAACCCCCTGGATGGGTGAGGAACAACCCCAAAATCCCATTTGGCAGCTTATTTCGGGAAGCACCGGGGCGAGTCTCTCCCGGTGCTGGTTGATGGCAACTCCATTTGCCTCATCAATATTAAATAAAGTTTCCTGCTTTTTCTATTGACCTAATTCTGAAAAGAGGTGGGAATAGAGATGCTGAGCCTTGTTGCTGCCTCCCTCAGGATTGCATGGGCTGGAGGATGGGATGGGATGGGAGAGGATGGGAGGGGGTGGATAATGCCCCTGCTGTTCCCTTGGATGGGGATGCAGAGCCACGACCCTGCAGGCAGGGACTCTCTGGATACCCCACCCTGGGGTGGGATGAGTGACCCCCCTGCCTGTCCCTCTTGTCCCCTTGGATGGGAACATGGATAGGGCCACAGCCCTGCAGGCAGGGATGCTCTGGATGTCCTGTGTGGTGGGATGGATGGGATGGATAATTCCCCTGCCTGTCCCTGTTATCCCCTTGGATGGGGATGTGGAGGGGGTCATGTCCCTGCAGGCCGCAGGGATGCTCTGGATCCCTGTGGGGTGGGTTGGACCCCAGAGCTGCCTGGCACCCCTGGGTGACTCACACTGCCCTGCACTGTGAGTCAGTTTGGTTTTCCAGAGATGAAGGATCTGCAAGAAGCGCTATTTTCTACGTAGGCTTGTTCCCATGGGATGATGAGCAGGATCCATCTCCTACGCTGCCCCCAAATGCCCAATTTTTGGCCTCAGAATTGCCGGGCCAGACCTGAATTCAGCTGGAAAGCTCAGAGCAACCTGGCTGAGCTGCTTTCTGGTTTTAAGGCCATTGCAAACAGAATATCTGAGTTTCCCAGAGAAAGCAGAGCACAGAAACAACCCCAGGGCTGGATCTTCCTGCTGCTCTGCTGCTGAAGGCAAGGAGCGGAGCCAAAGGCAGTGGGAATCTTAAAAACCACTTTCTGCATCTGCTCGTGGCTTTTCTTGGGAGGCAACAACCCCAAAAGAGTTAAATCCGTTTAAAAATGCAGGATTTGTTATGAACAGACAGTTTTTATTGTATTTCCCTTTTGTTTCCTCCCAGTGCAACAATTGGGATGGGGAAACCACCCAGCTCCGTGCCAGCTCTGCTCGGGGAATTTGCTTTCCATGGGCAAGTTGGAACCAACACAAAGCCCTGGCACGCTCGAAAGCTCGTTTTTTGTCAAAAATAAAAGGCCTTGAAAAACTCTCACTTGTGCCATGGATGCTGGTCCCACTCCCTTTTGATGGGGGACAAGGAGAGCCATGGTATTCCCGAAGGAGTTGGGACTCCCATGTGGAGTTGGCACATTCAGAGCCAGTTTCTCCCTCCTGGAACACCTTTTTCAGAGCTGGATCCCAAGCAGGTTATTCCCTGCAGCCACAACGCATCTGATCTCGCTAAGTCAGAGTTAACAGAGGGGTTGAGAGACATTTTAATTACAGCTTTGGCTTTCCCGCGTGATTTATCCCGGGCAACGCAACCAATTCATCCATCAGCACTTACCAGGGATCTGAGGCAGAAAGGAGGCGCGGGGGGTGTTTGTGACGGTGGCTCAGGAGTGGTTTAAGAGAGATTGGAAATGAAACGGGGATGTTGCTTAAAAAACCCCTGCCTGGCATGAAGGATTTGTCTCCAGCCAGGAAAATTAATGAGCGATACCTTTCCCGAACTCCAGTTCCCCTCTTTTGCCAAGCGGGGTTCGTTTCTCTTTGGGATGTGCTGGTGGGAATGAGGGAATTGGGGTGATGTTCCAGTGTCATTTTGTGATCAGGTGGCATTGCAATTTCCTTTTACCGTGTCAAACCCCCTGGCAATGCTTTTCCGAGCAGGATCCGAGCTGGTGCCTCAGGAAGAGAGGCAAAGAGAGGCTGATGCTGTTTAATGATCCTTAGAGAAGTGTGTGATGTCTCAGGTGAGATGTTGCTTAAACAGTGCCTGAGAAGTATTAAATCCCCCTATTAATACAGTATTTAACACTCCAGTGGAAAAGCACCCTGGTAAATAAACAGAGGAGACAGAGGGAAAAAGTGCTGTCAGGGCAGTTGTTTTCCGTGCCCGATGGAGAAATGGTTTCTCTCATCCCAGGTGGTGAAGTTGTGTGTGGTTGGAAGGGACCTCCAAGCTCATTCAGTTCCACTCCCTTGCCATGAGCAGGGACACCTTCCACTATCCCACATTGCTCCAAACCCCATCCAACCTGCCCTTGGATGCTTACAGTGATGGGGCAGCCACAGCTTCTCTGGCCAGCCTGTGCCAGGGCCTCCCCACCCTCACAGCCAAGGATTTTTTCCCAATGTGGATCTAACCCTGCCCTCTGGCAGTGGGAAGCCATTCCCCCTTGTCCAAAGCCCCTCTCCAGGGACCGACGAGGGAATGTCCTTCATTCCCAGGGGAAGCCTGCAGCGGGAGGACTTTGCAGCTGGGAAGGACTGTTCCTCCAGAGCTATTAAACCCCGATTACAGTGATGGATGCGGCACCGCTGCGGCGCGAGCTGGGAGGTGGTGGATGGATGGGGGGTTTTTTGCTGCCTATCGATCTCTTTTGCACCCGAAGGAGAATAAAAGCTGCTTCTCACCCAACAGCTTCAGGATATTAAAGCCAGTGAATCTCCTGTCCCTTTTTCATCCCAGGTGCCTGAATGTATTTCCCACCGTACCACTCCTGGTGCAAACCCTTGGCAGGAGCTATTGCAGGGGGTGAGAAACCCACCTTTGAGCAGAGAAACCTTGGGCTGCGTCAGCGTGAGACACAGGGCTGGGGCTGTATGGGGTGAGCTGCATTGCTCCCTTTGGGACAGGAGCAAAGGTGTGTGGGATGCAGGGACCCATCCATGTAGCCCTGGTTCTCCATAGAGGTTGGTTTGCAGGAGGTTCAAATCCTGGACCTTCAGTGCCGTGTCCTGCTGTCGGGATGGGTAATGGGGCAGCAGGGACGTCACCTCCCATCCTCCTGGATAACCTCGGCTGCTGTGGGCACATGAACATCACCTCCCATCCTCCTGGATACCCTCAGCTCTGGGAACTCCCCCAAGCAAGCTCAGCTTGCCTGGCAAAACACTCCAACCCAGCAGAGGGATGAGCTGGGTTTGGAGACAACCCGCTCTTGCTGAATTAATAAAGAGGCCTTGAGCCGCCGGAGAGGTTTTTCTTGTCGCATCATTTATTCATCATTCATAAAAATATCAGGGGCAAGGCTGGGACATGGAGATCATGCCAGAAGAGGTTGGCATGTGTGTTTGTGTGTGTGTGGCATTATTCATGCTGCAGGGGCACAACAGCCTGTGCCTGATGCATGGGCCCGCAAGGGGATCCCACCAGGAATTTGGCTGCACCGCTGTATCTGGGTGGGAGCTTTGCTCATACATCTCATAGCTGTAATGCAAGGCAGGTTCCCCAATTCCAAACCCACCCCAAAGGTCCTGTCAGCCCGGGAGGAAGATGCTGCAGCCAATAAACCCCGTGTTTCCCTGGGCACTCATGTAAAGCACCATTAGAAACACACCAGGAACACAAACCTTAAGGCTAAAGTATCCCTCCCAGCTAGTTCATCCACGCTGTTGAGGAGTGGGTGTGCTCAGGGCATCCCCCCGTGGCAAGGGGACCCCCCTTGCTGGGCCCTGCCCCCACAGCAAACTGCTCTGAGTGACCCTCCATCCAGCTCGGAGGTGTAGAGCCATTAGTCATCCTACTGTACACACGAGCAGCTGTGCCAATTAGCATAATTAACACACGAGGGCCAATTAATCTCTTGATTATGCCTGCCATTCACTTATCAGCTGCTATTATGGGAAGATCGCCTTTTGTACCTCTGCTTTCTATGCAAATGAGCCGGTTATGATGCCTTCATTACTCCAAACACAATTACCCGGCGCAGATTCCTGTGAAATCGGGCACGGA